GGGGGGGGGACCAAATCTGATGAGTTTAAGAACGGTGGAGTAACAAGGTATAACTATAGTAATAAAATAATCAGTAATGACCCAATAAAGACCAGGCTTCTAGCCAAAAATAAATAAACAAACTAACAACAACAAAACCCCTAAACTTTATATACCAAAATACTTCATATGGTTTGGACAGAAAAGTACCCAACCACCATCAGCAGTAATTTTAGGGGCCATAACTTGAAGTCACTCAACTCCTTATCTTAATCTTTATAATCCTGCCTTGGTTTTTATTTCCCATAACACAAAAATCTACACATAGTAGATGTCTGATAAATATTTATTGAGTGAAATGTGGCTGAATCTTGAGTCTGCCACTCATTAACTTGTGTAGCCTTCAGGAAGTCATTTAACCTTATTGAGCATTAGTTTCCTCCAAATGCAAGTAAGATTATCCACCCCATTACATAGAGTCACTGTGAGGCTCAAAAACTAAACTGCAGCAATAGAACTAGTGAAGGTACTTGGTAAACTATCATTCAGTATAAGTTGAGAAGTTTAAAAAAATCTCTAATACTGAAACAATATTAAGCACAATACTTTCTTAGCAGTGCTCAAGCACTTAAAAATACAAATATTTATGTATATAAAGCACAAAACACTGTGCTCAAATTGAACACAGAAGCAGCAGTTACACATTTTCTGCTACCATCCATTGCATAATCCGTTACATGCAGTAATTGCAGCAATAATCAATAAGCTAACTGGGTAAAAGATTAATCAGTTTTACAATTGCTAATGGAATCTCCAGCACCAGACTTACATTGGTTTCAGAGTCCCTCTGAGATATTCTTCAAAATCCTTAAACAATTTTAATAAGGATGTGACAAAGTTTAGCATAGTTATCCAAAAATCTAATTAATTTGAAATAGAACGCCACATTCGACAAGGGGATAACAAGTGCAATTTTTGGCTTTGTTTGCAAGTTTATCCAAACAGTGTTCCTTTTTGTTATGAACCTAATTCTAACAGCACAATGCAATCAATAATTACATTTTTTTTTCTTCATGGAAATCTGCCATATAAAAAACTTGGGTTTCAAAACAACACAGTTTAATTCTATAAGGCACAAGTTCTCTAACAAGAAAGATGGCTAAGGATATAGCTCAGTGGTGCAGTATCTGCCTAGTGTATGTGAGGACCTGGGTTCAGTCCCCTGTACTGCAAAGAGGCAGAGGAACAAGTCTCACTCCCTGAGTATCTGTGTGTTAGGCTCAGTACAACACATCCACCTATGTTCATTTAATTTTTCACACTCCTACTCTGGGAGACTCATCACCTCTATTTAACAGAGGAGGCAAATGGTTTATCAATGAGCAAAGAAAAATACTTCCTACTCTAGCTCCTGCACTCAAGTCATAAAGTATGTTTACTATTCAAGAGTTAACAGGTAAGTGACCTCATAGATCTCATTCCTCAGACATTTAACTACACAGACAGGTTGCTGGCTAGGCTGCTGGGCTGGTGGAAAGCTCTGGCTACATGATTCATGCCCTGGATGAATCCGGTCATATCCTTTGGATGGTGAGGCAGCAGGA